CACTAAGAATTAAGATTCGATAGTCAAGGTGTCCTTCTCTCGCAGGCGCGAGTCTGTGTGAGAGTCTGAAGTGGGTTCTACGCCCTAGGCGACGGCCGCAGACAGCCAGAGCCATTCTCTTGCAGTGGAGGCCGAAAGCTGGAAAGACGAGGGTGAGGATGTCAACGCGGAAGAGTCCTGAGCTTAGCTTTTTCATGAATATCACTTCCATGCATATCCCAAGCTGCTGGTTCGAGAGGGGTGCTGGAGTTTTAGGAACGGCTTTGCGAGGCTTTGGGTGACGAGTTTAGGGCCAAGTTTGGTTTCGGTGTTGAGGGTCTGCAGGGTTTAGCGAAAAATGCTGGGACTGTCTGGATGAAGCTTGAATTCTGCATCATCGGATCTTTGGTGTTAGGGATTTCGGGTTGAGGGTTCGGGGTTGCGGGCTGGCTCAGGATCGTAGCATCGGGCGCCAAGTTTCTGGGGATCGGAGTGTGTTTAGGGTTGTTATGGTGCTTTAGGTTTTGGTGGTTTCGTCTTCAGAGTAGGGTTTTCTCGCCAGAATCTTCCGAGGCTGCGCCAACATCCAGCTGATGAAGAGCCCGCTCTCAGAAATCAGTTGGGGGGTGCTTCCTTGGCAGGGCTCTGAGGGCTCCTTTTGACGCACGGCTTCCCTCGGAAAGGTTCTGGTCGATGTGCCTGATCGGTCTTGATGGTCTTTAAGAAGGACGTGTAAGTGTAAATTATCCGTAGAAACCCAGTACCCATAGGCCCTATAGTAGTTCCTTTTGGGATGACCTTGTAGGGTTCTATACATGAACCACAAAAAGGGACTGTGGGGCATCTGGGTATTTTAGTAGCCCTTATAATGGCCCCAAGTTTTCTGGGGCCCCAATTCCCTGAGAAGCCATTTGTTAAGGACCAGCGGCTGCATCTAGACAGCCAAAGCTCTGCCCTAAAGACTGGAGATGTGGGCAACTTTCTTTGTATGTACATATGTATATATGCACAAATATATATATATATATATATATATGCATGTATAGAGTGCGAACGGACTGCGATGCCTTGTCAAGTTCTAAGGTGTCACTATAAGAGCTGTGAGCAAGACCGTGTAAAGTGCAAGAGAAGGGGGCACGCTACGCGTCCCTCGACTCTAAGGGGGGCACGCTACGCGTCCCTCATCTTTACCTTTCTATGTGACCGCCCACGCAACGTTTGGCTCAAGTCAATGCCCATAGCTAAGTGCTATAAGTGTCTTCTATCCTGAGCAATCAGAGCTATCCCGTTGCACAGACGAACCGCCGCCGGCAGTGAGTGCAAAAGGAACGGCCGCCGGTTCTGCCTGCATAGGATTGCACGCGTGGAAGTGTAAGAGAGACAGGGTCCAGTCTGTGGAGAGTGCAAGCCAGCCACACCTACATTCATTACAGCTCTGGTGGGGAGAGCAGCAACTAGTCGAGAACAATCCCCCACGCAGGTTATCAGCCGTACGCGGCTCTGCCTTTCTACAGCAACGACTACTTGATCTACTACGACCACAATGAACTCGGGATCAAGCCAAGATACGACAATGACTTTCGGTGCCGATGTGGCAGCGCCAGCCGTTGGTGAGTCAACAGCTGATGACACAGTGGTGCAATCCGTTGATAGCTCCACGGAAGATGACAAAGGTCAATCTTCTGCGCTTGCCATTGCAAAGGCAGTTCCCAAGGTGAAAGCAAAGAGTCTACCAAGAGCATCTACGCCTTCGCGTCCGACATCCACAGGTTCGAGGACGGGCAAGGCTCCCGAACGACGAGCCGAAGCGTCTGGTTTTCAGGCACCTCGGACTACGTCCAGGGCCAAGGACAAAGGAGTGAAGACCTTGGAAAAGAAGTCAAGACCATCATCTTCGAGAAGCTCTTCAGCACGATCGAGGACTTCGGCTACTCGTGGACGTGACAAATCCATGACTTGGAATCGGATGGTTACCAATCAACCACGTGATGCTGACGATCTGGATATGACTCTGGACACTATCCCAGCACGTGGCGATGCGTCATCGGTGACCACGCCAGCCATAGCCGATGGTCCGAATGCCTATCAGGAACTGACGATTTCGCAACAGCTCGAAGCATCTAACCTTGCGCAGCAGATGTACTATCGCAGTCAGATGCAAGAATACGAAGGAGTTGTTCAGACCCTGATGGACAAGATCAAGGAGATGCAACAAGAAGATGAAGGATCTGGAATTCGCATTGAAGAATTGGAACGACAACGTGACCATGCATGCTTAGCCATGAGGCACATCAACAATGTCAATCAGGAGATGAAGCGAGACTATGAAACAGCTTTGTTTCGCATGGATGAACAGAACTCTGCTCAACAACGTCAAGCACATGCCGTTGCCGAGGAGTTAGCTCAACAGCTACACGTGTTCCGCACGGAGGCAGCCACTAACTTTGTGCAGTTGGAGGCAAGAGCGCAAGGCGATGGTGAGCTTATGGCACGTGAGTATGAGCGTCTGACTCATGAACTTCATGAACATGCCAGAGAGAACTTGGTCCTCCGGTCAAACACAGCAAGTTCGGAACAAGCCTTACAAGCAATGCAGGAACGATTCCACTTGGTCAAGAACCAGGAGTTGCGGGCTGTGAACGAGATCCAAGGGCTAGCTGGAAACAGCGCAGCCATTGATCAAGAACGATTTCGGCTTCGCGAACGTCTTGGTGAAGAGGAAGAGTACCGCAAAATGGCTGTGAAGAGGATGCAAGAAGCAGAGGACCGACTTCATCAGAATGAAGATCATGCAAGGCGATCATTGCCTACCTTGCACGACGAGCTGAGTGAACTCAGGAAAACGCTCAAAGCACAAGAAGATCTTCAAGCGAGGACACGCAGCGAATTGGAGGCAGCGCGAAACTCCAATTACGGAGGAGCGACACGGCCTTCAAGCATGCCCATGTCTTCGAGGACTACTGAGTCTGGCTGGGAGCACGTAGGAAAGGAAGTAGTGCCTGCATTTTCCGTAGGAGGTGAGGTACGATCCCCTGAAATACGGTCCCCAAGTCAAGTTAGTCCAGTCGCCAAAGAGAAGTTCGCATTCTCGGAATCGGACAAGGACAAGAACCTTGTGATGGATGGAATTCCATTCACCGGTGGAAACTTCTTCACTGGCCGCAGTTCAATGCCAATCGTGGCGGATGCAATGCCCGAGCACTACGTGCCAGGTATTAGCAGCCCAGCACTTGCGCGTTCCACGCCTAGTGCAGCCACTTTGTTCGGCATACCAAGCGGATTTCATGGGAAAAGTGATGCGGCAGCCGTGCGTGATCGACAGCTACGCGAACTCTTGGAGGATCGCGGGATGTTGGGATCGAAGTCCACAGCATCTGCCAGCTCCTCAAGACCTGTTGGTGTCGACGGTATCACCGCATCTACGAAGGGCAACGACCTCATCGGTCCCCCTATTGCCTATGACGATTCCATTCATGAAGCAAGGAGACGTCAGATCGAGAAAGAGGTCGCGGAACGGTACGAGGAGAAGATTGCCGATCTGCGAAGCGAAGTACTCAAGGCCCAGAAAGCCGAACAACGTCTCAGAGCTGATCGTGATGAGTGGAGATTATTCGCTGAAACGATTCAGGAGGATAATGGAGACGATGACGGTGACGAGGCTGGCGACGAGAACGAAGATGGAGAGCACGATGAAGGAACCGGCACGGGGTATGACCCTCCTGACCCGCCTGATGATGATGATGATAAGAAGAAAAGCGGTGGAGGCAAACCTGAATCGGATCCTGGATCTCATGCGCGTGATCCTGATGGAGACGCAGATCCTGAAGTCACGGAAGTGAGAATTTCCAGGAGGGAGGCCGACAAAGTGACCGTACCTCCATGGCCTACCGTGAGGCTCCGATAGTGCATTTTGCACGACGCCGGAGCATACGCCATCATTATGATGTATTTTGTTTCCGCTGATGTTTTATGCTTCCAACATCCTGTACACAGAGAAACTACTATGTTACTCGCTTCCGAGGTATATGAAAAAGAAGATTGCAGACTTTTAATTTCCAATTTTGGCTCAAACCGGCTCAAGCTATGGGAGAGAAAAGAAGAAAGAGACCCTATATACCCATCATTATACATATATATATATATAACCATACATGTCTGTATGACCGCGAAAACCGCGGGAAAGACTCCAACGGAAACCTTTCAAAACCTGTCGGTGCGCTGTTGGGTTTAAACCTTCGCGAAGCAAACCATGTAGTAAAAACAACCATGCTACTTCAGAATTTGGCTGCCTCCTTCCCTGTGCCCTGAAACCCCAAACCTTTCGAAGCTCCAAAAGCAACAGAAGCAAGCTCCCAGGGCGATTCTTCGCTCGAAGCTGTGGCTCTTCCGTTGAATATACCCCGAGAAAACCTTTAACTTTCGAAGCTCTAACTCAAAAGCTTGCAAGCAAGCTCCGAGTTCTCAGACGTTCCATGTTCACATGCAGTCATAGCATGCAGCAAGTGCAGTCGTACCGTCGCTCTGTGCATGCAAGTGCTTGCCATGCTCTCCTCTTGGGACTTTCCGAACATCGCCGGGCAGGCAGGGTGCCGTCGCCGTGCCTCTGATCAGAACATCGCATGATTTGCTTGCAAAAAGGCCGCATCATGAACGAGAAGCTCCTCATGAGCATCGCTTTTGCGGCTGAGGCTGCATGCGTTTTGCAAGCCAGTTCTGCAGGCATCGTCATGCGACCTTTGAGATGCTTTACTTGTTGCAATTTCGCTGTTGAAGACCGCAGTGTGAAGGCGCTACATGCCACACGCATGCATGGGATGTGAAAGCGTCATGCCACGGTACATGTCGAGACCAGCTCGTATAAGCGGCGATTTTCAAGGCTTGCGAGCTCTAAGCTCTTAGGTGGCTTTGCATTTGGAAGGGGTGCTTGGGACTTCCTTAAATTTGGAGCGATTTTGAAGGCTTGCGAGGTCTCAAGTGCGATTTTGCATTTTGAAGGGGTGCTTGGACCTCCTCGTGGAGCCATGGATGATGCAGGGCGTGCTGCGGAAGCGCTGGCTCGCATTAGGGATGGTAAGCCTCCCTTGGCTCGGGAGCTGCCCACGGCCGAGACATGGCGGTCGGTGCGTGGCTCGACTGCAATTTCGAAGGACCGTTCACGAATCATGATCTTGATATTGCAGAGCATCTTGAGATCATTAGGAGCTGGCAAGATCTCGTGGACATACGAGATGGTTGAGCCTTGCATGCATTTGATGTTTGTTTGCAGCGGTCTGTTGGCAAGATGACCGGCAGCATATTAGGTTTTGATTGCGACCCTGACCTACGAGCGGCTCCCGATCGAGATGCTGACGATGATCCAGAACCCTGCGTGGCAGGGAGCGAAGCTGATCACTTTGAAGAGTGAATTGGCCAGGCCGACGGCCATGGAGATATCCCTCCACTACAAATGGATCAAGCCGTGGTGCACCGTGCTCCCAACCAAGGTCCCGTCAGGGTACTTTATAACAGACGTGATGCTGTTCCTGAACGGCCTTTTGGATTCAAAATTGCTACGAGTCAAAGAATCGGAATCCGTCCGCGGCCGAGCTGCAGAAGACGCGGTTCGTCTGCGGAAGCTCATCTCGAGCCTACGGTACCTCTTCCGATCCAGCCACTCGCTGGCAACTCATAGCTGTGAGCATGCATGCATGCTCTTACATTTTCAGAAGCCCGTGCAGGCACGAGCAGCAGATTCGAGAGGATTCACGACTTGAAGCAAGACCTCCGGCGCAAGGTGTGCCCGTTCGGTTGCAGATTGCACGAAGGTTTGGTATTAAGCCTTTGTTTGCTCCCAGGAAAAGAAGGAAAAGAAGAAGGGCGCCGACGAGCCGCTGCCGATCGCCGACGGTGAGGCGGCGGCGATTGACAACGGCCCCGGAGACGGGGAGGATTCTTGGCTTTTGGAGTTGCTGGGTGCATGGGTATTTTTTGTGTGCTCTATCTCAGGCCGAGCTCGAGCTCTCGCAAGCATCAACCCGGGAATTGGGAGATCATCTGAATGATGAAAATGATGAGGCCGCTCATTGCATGCATGATGCCATGGTGCTTGTCTGTATAGATTGCCATGACCTTCAATCACCTGCCAGGACTTCGATGAAACCAGCTCCCTCAACCTCCTGAGCGACGAGAGCTCATCCGAGGATTTCGGGAAAATCATGTTTGCGAGGTTACGAGTTTTTGTGTGCTCACTTCACGAAAACAGGAGGACCCGGACGACCCCTTGGATTTAAAGCTGGAGGAGCTGCAGGCCGGCATGCACTCTCCGTGGAGGTATGAGGCTTTAGCTGCCCTTCGACAAGCCGAATACGAGCGTGACATGATTCAGATGCAAATGGCGGCCTCACAAGATGGAGACCCACCCGCCGCTTGGTTGAATCCGATCACACGCACAAACATGTTATAGATTTCCGCGATTATATGCCAAACTACAGGACATGGTGGACCCGAGCCAAGCGGTCACGGAGAGCTACCTCGGCTGCGGGGATGTGCCTGAGCCGCCGAGCTCGCCGGGCGAGAGCGAGGCGGCCGATGATGCTTGCGAGGATTCGTGTTGGGAAGAAGAAATGTTAACATGTTCACGTCTGCATGATGTATGCGTGTCCCCGGCCATCAGGATGACGGGGGCCTGTGGTTGTGTCGTCCCCAAGCAAAAGTTGATCTAGATGAACCTATCTTCGGCATTTGGCCGATGGTCATCGATGATTCTGATGAGGATGATGATGATGTGCAGAGTGCAAGTCCCGTGCATGATGGAACCGTGCGTGTCCCTGTTCCCTGTAGGAGACCCGAAAGGACAGCGACATCGAGCCGAAGACATCATCCGAGCAGGACGGTGTGATTCATGCACGCATGCGAAGTCATGATCAATAGCTTCTTTTGAAGGATGATGCAACCGACCTCGAAAAGGCGGAGCGGATCGCAGATGAGCTCGAAGTGGGCAAGGAGGCCGACAATGGGCCCAAGAAGAGGAAGAAGGACAGTGCCATGCAAATGAGATTTCATGCACGATTTCGAAATGACTTTGTGGTTTTGCAGGGCCTCCGGCGGAACAAGAAGAAGAATCGGGATGCGATGGACTCGGCCCGTGAGGACCGTCATTCTTTACAAGGCTATAGATGCTTCACGTATGATCATATGTCATTGGTGCAGGATCAGCAAAGCGCGGCCAACAAGGGGCCCAAGAAGAAGAAGAAGGGCGGGCAGGATGCCATGGACTCGGCCCCCAAGGACTGCTCCATGCAAATGATTGTTCCTTTATATCATTGGAGGTTTGATTGCGTGATGCTTATTTCATTCCAGGATCCAGTCAGCAGCGACTCATGCCCGAGCATACTTCGTGAGCGAGCCACACAGCTGGACCGCGAGCCACAAGTTGTTTTGGAGCATATTTTCATGGGCCCATGGGTGCATGTTCAATTTGTTCAGTTCGGATGCAGGATGATGATATCGAGGAGCCCATGGCTGCTCCCTTTATGAGCTCTGACGAGGACTGTGTATGAAGTCCTTGCAATCTAAGTGTGAGTTGAGCCACCTAGAATTAACAATCTTACAGCGACTGTTGCATCAGGAGAAGAATGCTGATGAGACATGGCTGAGTGAGCCCGATATTCTCTGAGAGGCGGTATACTCCAAGTTTGGAGTGCATGTGCCGGATGGGATGTACTAAGGAGTTTATCCGGAGTCCATGGGGCAGTGCCGATGAGGTCGACATTTGCTGTTTGTTCTTCGAGAGATATTGTCTAATGCAAGCCATTCAAACCAAATGTGCAAGAAGCAGCGATTCAAAGGATGATGCTTTCGGCTCGCCCCTGCCCCTGGGCGAGCTAGCCGACCAAAGCCAGGAAGAGGATCCTATGTTTTGTGATGCAGTTCCCATTGAAACCAAATATGCAAAAAGCCCCGATTCAGAGGAGGATGTTTTCGGGTCGCCCGTGGGCGAGCGAGCCGACCGCAGCGAGGACGAGGATCCGATGTTTTGTGATGCAAATTCCCATTGAAACCAAATATGCAAAAAGCAGCGATTCAAAGGATGACGTTTTCGGGTCGTCCCTGGGCGAGCGAGCCGACTGCAGCGAGGACGAGGATCCGTTTTGTGATGCAATTCCCATTGAAACCAAACATGCAAAAAGCAGCGATTCAAAGGATGACGTTTTCGGGTCGCCCCTGGGAGAGCCAGCCGACGGCAGCCAGGAGAACGATTTGCAGACATATGTGCATACTTTGGCAGTGCAGCCTTAAGTGTATGCCCGGAGGAGATGGATGAGATGCCTGCTGTTGGTCCGCAGAGTGCCGCGAACATGAAGGCCGCGAGAAAGAAGGCCAACGAGCCCACAAAGCCGATGAAGAAGAAGAAGGTGAAGAGAGCTTCTTTTCGGCGTGGCAAGAAAGGGCTGCGCAAGATGAAGCGCCGGTTGCCGCCCGGCATGATGTTCAATGGGTACGATCTGCTGAAGCTTGAGGTTCCGAAGGATGCTTGGCCCCAAGGGGTGTGCAAAGGCCTTCACAGTTATACTGTGAAGGCCCCCAACGACACAGCGATCGAGGTTTTGTGCCGCAACAAAGCCTTTTTTTGCAAGCGAGTGCATCCGAGCCTTGCCGCGGACCCCGATCATCGAAAGGGACAGGTCGGCTGGAAAACCGTGGGCAGTGTGGCTGCTGCATGGAGAGTGGCGAAAGACCGAGTTGGGTGGGACCTGAAGTGATCAACAACAACACCAACAGCAACAACAACTACTACTACTATACTATGCTGCTGGTACTAGTACTACTATACTACTACTACTAGTACTGCTACTACTACTACTACTATACTACTACTACTATACCACTACTACTATACCACTACTACTACTACTACTACTACTACTACTACTACTACTACTACTACTACTACTACTACTACTACTACTACGACTATATACTATATACTACTAGTATTCGCACCATGCTGCTCTATACTCCTATATACTACGCTGCTTTTGCTGCCATGCACCATGCACGTTTTCTAGCACAATGCACTTTTGCACTTGTGTAAGAAGGTTTGTACTATGTGTGCCGTGCAGCTAGACTAGAGCATGCATGCAGAGAGAGATCCCATCCGGCAGTGCGGTTCAAATTTTGGTGAACGCGACGTTCACACGCATGCTTCGCTCTGCGGTGGAGCCAGGAGTGCATGTTGTGAGTTGAAGTGCAGTGAGTGCATGCAAATATACTCAGCTAGCCTATGGCATGTTCTTTAGAAGCTGTTGCTTGTGTGCCTGGCGGGCTGCTGTAGATTTTGTGAAGCAGCTTTTCTATAAAGCAGTACGATTCTGCCGGAGGCAAGAGGAGGCCCGCGGCCATGCATGCAGTGCCAGTTGCTGGGAATACATGTGGTCCGGCAGATGCTGTCGTCGTACTGCTCATGGCAATACAAAGAGCTTTCTACATCCCACGGAATGAGAGCACGCATGGCCCGCGTGCCAAAACGAGGGGCGCAGGCTTTCACACAGCGAAGCGGAAGCCGCTGAGAAAAAACCTTTGAGTTTGAGCTGCAGGTTGCATGCCCTGAGAGTATAGCATTCACGAAGTTTTGTCTGTTCCGGCAAATGCATGCCTGCAGGTGTGGCCCAGAGGATATTCCGATGTGGATGTGTATGACTTTATGGAAGGACCCACCTTCCAGGGTTGCAAGCAGGTGGTTCAGGATCAGTGCCATGCCCGTCTCATTTGTGTGTGTGCCCAGAGGACATTCCGATGTGGATGTATGACTTTGTGGAAGGACCGAACCTCGAGGGTTGCAAGCAGGCGGTTCACGTGCAGTGCCATGCCCGTCGGGTTTGTGTGTGCGTGTGTCATGTGTGCCTGAGAGTGCATCGAAGCTACGTTCATGGATTCAGGCTCATGGAGTGTCTTGCAAGAAGAACAGATGCTATTGCTTTCCACAATCTTCCGACAAAGCAATCATGCAAGTGTATTTGCAAACAGTGCTTCGATTGTCGAGATATAGTGCATGTAGCATGCACGCAGCTACATAGTCTGCTTGTGGTTTCAGTTCGCACGATGAAGCGTGCTTCCAAGAATACGAAGAAGCTGCGAGTGCAGCGACCGTTGCCGAAAAGCCGGCGACTGCTGCAGCAGATGTTCGTGCTGCACGGGCTAGCACGTCTGGGTGCGCCTTTGGAGCTTTGGTTTGCACATAGTGGCTGCGTCATGAGCATGTCAAGCCCTTCCCGCGATTGGACAAAGTTGTTGACCGTCCATGAATGAGGTCATTTTTAGACTTGTGGCATTGGTGACACAGATCGAGAGCCTGCCCTGGGATACTGCGGTGCAGCACTTCGAAACGTTTGCTGGCCAGAAAGCTGTTACTCGAGCAGAACTTCAAGCTGCTTGATTGCAGAATAACTGAGTGCGATTGGTTTCCCCCCCCCCCCCACGCCCCACAGAACTGAGTCATTGGTTTCCCCCCCCCGCCCCACAGAACTGAGTGATTGCTTTCCCCCCCCGCCCCCCGCCCCACCCTCCCAAAAGCCCATGCCCTGCAACATTGTTCCCAGGCTGGGAGATTTGCGATCTCGCACGACATAAGCTACAACGAGCGCACGATGAATATCCTGGGCTCCCTGGGATTCTGCAATGCAGTGTTTGAATGCATGCGACTTGAGCCCGGCAGTGGAAAGCTCACGGCTCCGGTTTGCTCTTCTTGGATCTTTATGTAGGGCACTAAGTTGATGCTGCGCGATGTATGTACCACACATGATGTGCGGGTCCTGCTATGTCTGCTGTGCTGTGGTGCTCTTGCCTTTTCTCAGGTCCCAATCCAAAACACAGCGGCGTTCCGGTGATGTCACGGGAGACGAGACTGTGCAGTCTGTGACAGATGGAAACTGCATGCTTTGGAGGGTTGTGGCACTCCTCCTGATCTGCTCAGCTAAGGGTGTCTTTTGGATCTTGGAACAACCAGAGAGATCCCTGATGCAACATCATCCAGCGTTCCAGCTTCTGTTCGGGATGATCCAGTGCTATAGGGTTTCGGTCAACATGGTCGAGTACGGTGCCAGATCGAGGAAGCCGACTTGGCTATATAGTAGCGCCTTGGCTGATTTCGAGGACGAGCCATGTGATTGCATGTGGGTTTTGCACGATTGAGATGGAGCTTTTCTGTTGTTGCTGAGACCGAAAGATCCTGGAGAAGCTCCCGAAGTTCAAGCCAGCCGAGTCCGATCTGCCAACGGATGCAGACAAGCAGGGATGGGAAATGACGGTGCGCCGTGTCGACGAGAGTGGGTGCAGTCGAGTCACTGGCGGCAAGAATCTCAAGTCTTCTCAAGCATACCCGAGGCAGTGGGGATCTGAGTTTGAGTGTGGTGCGTGCAGGTAAACCACGAACCCGAACCCGAGGAATTTGCTGCTTCCCATGTTAAGGTTCGGTGCTTCGCTATCATGCTTGCGGACTGAGTATGACAAAGAGATCAAGCAGCATGCTTGGCAAGAGCTCTCCGAGGCTTTGAGGCAGCGTTTGCGGCTGCCTGGTGATTGCAAGATTTCCAAGAAATGGGCGAAACAAGCTTGTTTCAAGAAGGTCTTTGATTTCCTTCGAAAGCAGCAATAGCTGCTTGCTACATCCTACATGTAGCAAACAATGCGTGCAGTGTACAGTCGAGTGCAAGCAGCAGATCTCGGTGGGGTATACCGACAAAAGGCTGCACTGCAAGATTTGCTGCAAGCCTGATGCATGCAAGGGATGGTGTGCAACAGCTATAGTTCTGTGTGATGCATGCAAGAACGGTGTGCTTTTTCGCAGGAGTATGCCGCCGTTCGCTTTGAAGCCGCAACATCTGCAACTGGCTGAATGCCGTGGTCCAAAGCAAGGCCGGCTGCATGGGTGCCAGACAGAACATGTGGTGCTGTGCTCTAGTTTGCGAGAATGGAGGGCTGGACGGCAAAGGTTTTTTTCAGAGCCGGGACGGGCCGTGATTTGTGTTGCCCCTCTGCCGTGATTTGTTTTACCCCGCTGCCGTGATTTGTTTTACCCCGCTGCCGTGATTTGTGCCAACATGCCGTGATTTGTTTTGCCCCGCTGCCGTGAGGGGAGGGGAAAGAAGAAATAGAGGACGGGAGCTGGGAGACACTGAAAGACAGATGGAAGTGGGAGGGGAGACGGCAGATGAAATGGATTTCGCCGAGACAGAAACAAAAAACACGCAAAGGAATCGGCGCAAACGGCCCAAAGTCGATGCCGTGATTTGGCGTGGACGCTGCCGTGATTTGGCGTGGAATGCCGTGATTTGTATTTGGGCCCCTAAAACCATACCGAACCGACTGCAACGACGCACCCACGACCACAACTCGACACGAACGACCCGAATTCGGAACAGAGCCGCCACTGCACCTACACAAACCAGCCGTGATTGTAACACTTCACGCGTGATTTGTTGCACCGCTGCCGTGATTTGCTCCAACCGCTGCCGTGATTTGTTTTACCGATGCCGTGATTTGTGCCAACCGCTGCCGTGATCTGTGCCAACCGCTGCCGTGATTTGCTTTACCCCGCTGCCGTGATTTGTTGTTTTCCCCGCTGCCGTGATTTGTTTTACCCCGCTGCCGTGATTTGTTTTACCCCGCTGCCGTGATTTGTGCCAACATGCCGTGATTTGTTTTGCCCCGCTGCCGTGATTTGTACCTCGACCGAAGCCGTGATTTCTATATGCCATGGTATACACACATGACATGCATGTCGGCACATGATATGTATGTGTGTGTATATATATATATATATATATATTAAAACTATATGTATGTATATATATACTATATGTGTTATATAATATATAAACATATATAGCTGCGTGCATGCATGTGTGCTATAGCTATTACAGCATGCATGCATTAGATTGCATGCGCCTTTAAAGGATTGAAAGGCATGCACCTGTTAACTCATATATGTGCACGAAGGTATCATGGTGAAACCCACATTGTGCGATTGCCATTCCAGAGTCTGTCTGTCATGCATTGTCATGCATGTAGTCACACATGCAACCAACTCGGCAGCAGTCTGCCATGCCTACATGTCATGCATGCATATACAGCCCACAGCATGCATTGTTGTCAAACCCAGCCAGCCGACCCATCCCGCCCAGCACAGCCGATCGAGCCCGTCTATCAGTCCGTCTGTCTATTTCTCTATCTGTCTGTCTGTCTCTCTGTCTGGACATATTGGTATGCAGTTTGTGTGTCGTCTGCAGAGATCGAACAGAAGCATGTGGAGAGATTCTGAGAGAGACTGCGTGCAGACTGGATGCATGCATGTTGTGCTGCAACACCCATGTGCCTCGAAGCGTTTGCTTGTGTTTTGAAACCGTCCCTTCTTGAAGTGCTGCAGCCATGCCAGCCGACGGGACGAGTCGGGTGACACACCGGATCCCTTCGAAAAGGCAGCAGTCGCGAGATTCAGAGGCAGAAGTCGCTTCGAAAAAACCTCGTTCAAAGCCGTCGCCACAGGACGTGGCTCGGCACGAGAAACTGATGAAGATGATAGAAGAACGGGCCAAGAAAGAGAAGAAAGAAAGCAAAGGCAACAAGGAGAGCAAAGACAAGAAGGAAAGCAAAGACAAGAAGGAAGCCAAGGACCAGCAGGCCACCAAGGCAAAAGCCAGCAAGCAGGAGCAAAAGAAAGCCAAAGATGATGAAAACCAAGCCCCCAACAGCAACGAGGCGAAGCGAAGGGAAGAGAAGAAGAAAGAAAGCAAAGAGAAGAAGGAAAGCAAAGACCAGAAGAAGGACGACAAGAAGGAAAGCACAGAGCAGAACAGCAGCAAAGACGAGAAGGCAAGCAAAGACCAGAAGAAGGACAACAAAGACAAGAAGGAAAGCAGAGACAAGAAGGAAGCCAAAGACAAGAAGGAAAGCAAAGGCCAGAAGAAGGACAGCAAAGACAAGAAGGAAAGCAGAGACAAGAAGGAAGCCAAGGACCAGCAGGAGGGCCCAAAGCACAAAAGGCAGAAGAAGTCCCGGCCGGTCGAGTCAGAGGACCGGGCAAGGGTTTCCGTGCATGCAGTCTGTGGTGGTTTCCTTGTATAGAGCATGGCGTTGTAAAGTTGAATGATAGATCTTTGTGCCGTGCTTCGAAGGATGAAGAGTCACAGAATGCCTTTGATGAGCTCGCCATGCACGAGGCAAACCTGGCAGCTGCCGAGCTTGCTGCCGCAGAAACCGAGGACCCTGGTGAGGAGTCAGACATGACGGAGGCAGAGATCGATGATGCTGAAAGCCGGGAGTGCAGCGAGGAAGAGGCAGAGCAAGAAGAAGATGAGGAGCAGGCCCCTCGCACACCCGGAGCCGGTGCTTTGGAGAGCGACGAGGAGCTGCCCCTGTCGCAAGAGTGCCGACTGGACGAGGATGAGATGCAATCGTCCAGTTCGGATTCTTCGGAATCCGAGGAGAATGTGGACGGCGAGCCCCTGGAGGCAGAAGAGGAGGCTGCCGACAAGGCTTCCTTGAGTAGTGCGGTTCAGGAGGGCGAGGCACTTGTGCGCAACAGCTCCCCAGATGAATTTGATCCCTTGTTTCATGTGAGGTGTTCTGTGTCAGCTGTGGCAATGTATGCAAGCAGTTAAGGTGCGACGCACAGGAAGGAATGGGCCGTGTTTGACCGTGCGATCAAGAACCGCCAGAAGTTCCCCGTGGCTCTCAGCAACTATGCGAATAAATCCAAGACGGATTTGTTTGGTGCCTGGCTCGATTGCAACGGCAATTGGGAGGAGTTACATGGCTGAAGCTAGCTAGGCATGTTTGCGTGTGTGTGTGTGTGCTTCCTTCTTGCCACGGACTTGTTTGTTTCTTCCAAGGCAGACATGATTTGTGATTTGCATGCTGTGCTGCTGCAACCCAGGGTGAAGCTGACTATGGAGCGCAAACACGAGAAGACGAACCTCAACCGGCAAGATGTGGTTGCCATCCAGGGCAAAGAGCTGAAGAAGAAGTACGAGACGGAGGCATAAGTGGTTCCGTTGATTCTGTTATTTCGTGCTCATCTCGTGCCCATATGGATCCTGTTGCCAGGACATGTACAAGCAAGTGATCGCAGCAAGAAAGGCCGAGGGACGATGGTACAAAGACAAAGACTTCCCGAGCAATGAGGATGTGACTAGGTTGCGGTCAGAGTGTCGTTTGCCAGCTTTGATTGTAATGCTGCATGCATTCCCGTTCCGAGGAAGCGTGGTACTACATGCCACAGGGCCACTTGCTGCGGAGTGACAATGCCACAAAGGAGTCCCAGAACCTGTCTGTGGATCAAAGCATGGATGAGGATTTGGGAAAAATTCTTGAGGAGAATAACCTGCTTCAGGCAGGCTGCATGCCTGCTGTGCATGCAGAAACTGAGGCTGGGGAGAAGGCCCTGCTTTCCCTCTTCGAGGAACCAGGTGCGGTTCAGAAGCGAACTGCGAAGCCCCGGAAGCAGGAGGCTGCAGAGACAGGTGCCGAGGAGATGAAGCCCAAGACCCTGCAGGAGTTCCTTGCACTCATGGCTTCCATTTTGTTTTGCATATGAGATTTCAGTTCGACTTTAATATATGTGTGCAGTATCTTTGGATCCTTGCAAGTTGCTAAGGCAAGTGACAGAAAGGAAGCCGGAGATCCTCAGAGATTCCACGGAGGCACGCAAAACCGCCATCACCCTCACCAACCTGAACTATGGTGGTGACCTATCGGACCAGCTGCTGAAGTTTTCGAAGCAGATGGAGCTGGCCTACAAGAACCTCGCTGCGCTGCAAAAGAAGGAGGGTGTTGAAACCGACATGAAGAAGATTCTCCGATGGGTTGAGAAGAAAAACCCATGGTTCAAGCAAGCCCAGGCGCATGATGCTGTTGCGGTATAAACTAAACTTATGCTTGTGTTGGTTCTGCCGTTTTGTCGCAGGCGGCAGCAGACGGCCTGATGAAGGGCCTGAAAGCCAAGAAGAAGGCAGGAGCAAAGGCTAAGCCAGCAGCGAAAAGTGCTGCCCCGAAGAGTTCCGCGAAAGCGGACTGATGTGATTTCTAGATTCTAGATGCAGCAGTGTGCAGATTGACGGTCGTCGGGACGACATTCTGACGTGGGATAGACTTGCCACGGCGAGCCCCCACTGGGACGTGCACGCACACTTCATGATTTGTGGGTGTTTGTGTTGAACCCATTGCAGTATATATCCCTTGAAGTTCTGAAGTTCCGATGGTCTATAGGTGTAGGTGAAGGAAGAATGCTTTCTGAGTGAAGTGTGCCATGCATGTCACCGAATGTTTGGGAAGACTCTTTTGCCAAGATGTGCAGCTGCTGCGAAGGATGCTCCATGTCATTCTGCTGAAAGATTGTGATTTTGCAGTTGTTTGCATGCATGTGGTGCGGTCCGGTGTTGCACAGATTTGCCGAATCTACTTTGGAGTCTGCTTCCTGGATTGCAGGCGTGGCTGGTGATGACTTGCAAGCGAGGCTGGGCCGTTTCAATCGTCATGTGCTTTGCTCAGTTCATGTTGCTGTGGTGTGCTGACACAAGGCCGTCATCTTTTCGTCGGAGAGAAGATTATTCCTCTCTGCCACGTTCTCACGCAGCAGAAGAGCTTCTGGAAATGATTGGAAGTGGGAAGACTCATGTGGCTCATGCACAAGGTTTGGCAGCTGCAATGGTTCGCGATGGTATACCTCAAGAGGCCGTTGCTGCTTTTGCAAGTTTGGGCTCCTTCGGAGCTCACGCTTCGAATGCTGAGCGAGACCTGCATAGGTGGCTACGAGGCATCTATGGAGTTTCTTTGGAGCCATACGTGATAGAGTTGATGCTTGAAAGCGACAACATTGATGAGAACGACAAAACTGTGACAGTGTCCACACAGATACCTGTGCTCCTACCACACGAGATCTTCTCTGAGCTTCATTCTTCAAGCGAGTATCAGGTTCTCATGGGACAAAAGACACAGAGTGACACAGGTAAGTAGTAAGAACACGGTTTTGGTTCCTGTGCTTCCGTGTATGTCTTAAGTATAGTTCGGTCTATGCCATAATGTGCAAATACCTCCTGCTTCCCTGTCAGTTTGGTTTGAGCATGCTGGGGCAAGGAACACCTGCTGCCATCAAAGAGTTTTGGAATCATTTGCAGCGATTTTCGCCGGCAGAGGTGAATGATCATCCGGCGCTCGAGAGCGCCGATCTTGGCAAGATGGTACCATTGCTGGTTCACTTTGACGGTGCAGAGATGTACAACAATGCTGAATATAACGTTTGGTCGTTTTCGAGTGCTATGTCATCTTTGCTGGATGTGGATTGCCTGCAAACTCAATTTGCGTGCTGCATGATTCCTCACAGAGCAATGGAAGAGAAGCAGGCCCGTGTGGGACATCATGTGTTTTAAGTAATCGTGCGACTGCCTATACAGAACAAGAAATTGCTCACAGGTGAAGGAGTACGTTCACAAAGAAATCGCGAGGCTGATGAGCTGGTCGTTCGAATGCCTTCAAAGAGGAAAGTTTCCTGAGACTGGATTCAATGGGGAAGAGTTTCCTTCTGCGTCGTGCCGTGCGAAAAGAAGTGGCACGGCATTGGCTGGTGAGTGGAAGATTCTTGGTTGCAGCTACACGGAAACTGCGGGGTTTGGCTGTGTGTGTGTGTGCAATGCGCTTGTGTGCATGTGTATATGCATGCATATATGGGGGCGTCTCTCTCTCCCTCTCTCTCTACCCCTCCCAACCTGGTGCAGTCTCTCTCTCTCTCTCTCTCTCTCTCTCTCTCTCTCTCCGTGCTGGTGCTCTGAGGGCTTGCTTCTACGGAATTCGTGGGGACCAGAAGGCGAGACGGGAATGTCACTATTTCAGTCGCCACTATAATTGCAATCTGCTTTGCGACCGCTGCCTAGCAATGAAGCCTGGGAAAAACTGTGTGGACGGCATGAACTACAAAAACTTTTCCTCAGCTGCTCCGTTTCTTCTGACGACTGTTGATCACAACCTGTACCTGAACTCGACTCCTGCAACCCGACTTTCGCCTTGGACGGCTATGCCGGGATGGAAGATTGAAAAAACTTTCTTTGACTGGATGCACGTTGTATTGTTGGGGGTTGGCAGAGATGTGGTTGCTGCTGCTATCAAGCTCCTGGCAATGCTGGGAGAGATTTCCCGTGAAACCTTGCGTGCAGATTTGAAAGCCCTGACAACCTGGATCAAAAAGGAACGGAAGAACGAGACTGGGACGCTTGGACGGCTCGACCTTTTGTTTTTCTCTAAGTTCCTGGTTTGGGTTTGTTCCGGTGTGGTGATTTGATGAACTTGCAAGTTTAAGTGAAGGGCGTCCTGCTCTTTGCCTTCTTTCACCCCTGCGAACACTGGCTTGGATCCCTGGAATGAATATCCGGAAGTGGGCAGCATCTACAAAGCAGCACATGTGAAGATTCTGGTGTGGGGCATGGCGAGAAAGCTGAAGAATGTCTTGGTGCAACGAAAGGACCCCTGATTGTCTGCACGCCGGGCAAGCATCATGTCATCAGTGTCGGTGTTTGCTCACATTTCTCTCTCACTCCCTCCCCCCCTCCCTCCCTCCCTCCCTCCCTCCCTCGCTCTCTCTCTCTCTCTCTCTTTCTCTTTCTCTTTCTCTTTCTCTTTCTCTTTCTCTCTCTCTCTCTCTCTCTCTCTCTCTCTCTCTCTCTCTCTCTTTCACTTGCTTGCTTGCTTGCTCTCTCTCTCTCTCTCGCTCTCCCTATCTCTCTGTCTGTCTCTCCCTCCCTCCCTCCCCTTCCCGCTCCTCTGATTCCGCCTCTTCTGCCACTGTGCAAGGATGACGATTTGATGAATATGGCACTGGCAATTCGAGCACTGGACCGAGCCCAACGTCTGATCGACAACAACGACTTGTTGCTGAGCGGGGATGATTCGACGAAATTCAACGAGATGGTTCAGTTGCATCTACGAACGTGGCAGCGACTGGCTTTGAAGTTCGAGGCCCTATGCATCCCTTTGGCTTATATCCGCCCGAAGCACCACTATCTACAACACATTGGGCTATATGTTGCGAAAACGAGAATCAACCCGCGCATACACCAAAACTTCAATTCAGAATCCTTCATGGGGAAGATGAAAAAGGTCGCTGTGAAGTGCCATTCGGCTTCAATGCTGATGCGTGTGCAGCAAAGGTATGTGCTTTACCTTTCCTTCCTGTGGGAGCGAGCAAAAAGAGCATCAGAGATACCGGCTGTTACTGGGGACGAGTCCGTGGAGCAACTCCTGCTTCTCGATTGGGAAAGGGAACAGCATGCGTTCAGCAGCACGGCAGTATATGCAAAACGACGATGCTTGGGCAAGTGATCCACTTCAGCTCTGTGCAAATATGGCACATGCAGCGACGACTGCATCATGAGCGGATGCACGCGCGGATCGTGAAAATGTTTCCCGAGTCGGAAATTTCGAGGTTTATCTTCGGAAGTTTCGGTGTTCATCTTTATAATTCAAAGGGCTCATTGGGCATGGAGTGACGGCACGAGGGATCAAGAGTTTAGTGTACCAGGGCCCTTCGATCCGAAGGATCTTATAAACTAAAAGGTTCGAGACGGCCGGTTTTGAACCACCCAATTGGTGAAGCTAAACTTACGAGAGCTTTCATTGCATCCACCCGATTTCGATACAAATCCGCATGCTCCCATTCGTTTCGACATCTGTGCTAGCTCTATACAAACTTCAAGCGGCCTTAAGGCAGCTACTGCGAGGAAATACCCATGCACATATGCATATATTGTAAAAATGTGTGTATATATATATATATATGTACATATATGCATATAGCTTCCGACACACGATCGAACCATGGAACCTGAAAAGAAACCCCTGAACCCGACGACCTTTACGGACCCAACGACTTACCTCTACCCAAATCCTTTGAACGAAAACCCTACAAGCAGATTTAGGTGAAGCCTCGGCTCCAAAAGTCCCGCAGCTGTAAATCCCGAAACCCTACCCTCAAAATAAGCAAGCTCTCCCCGCTCAAAGATCTTTACTTTGAAACCCTATCAGAGACCCTATATACCTTACATATTTTGGCTCAAAGTGTGTGCTCTTAAGGCATTTTAAACGCCATCAGCGCAAGCGCTAATTGCATCAGCGCACACGCATAGCGGTTAAACGCCATCAGCGCAAGTACAGCGGCTAAACGCCATCAGCGCAAGCGCTAATTGCATCAGCGCACGCAACCAAGTGCGAATTCAATGTTTGCATGTTGTACATATCCTTGCATATTGCAATTGCATCATGCAGTTGCAATAATTTTTAAGAAGCCATCCACGCCATCAGCGCAAGCGCTAATTGCATCAGCGCACGCATATAGCGGCTGAACGCCATCAGCGCAAGCACACCGATTAAACGCCATCAGCGCAAGCGCTAATTGCATCAGCGCACGCAACGAAATGCCATATTGAGCTGGCACCTATATGCCACCACGTGCAAATTGCAAGCATGCAATGCGCATGATACCCAAGCACATAGTGTATATACGCAGCGTATACGCAGCGTATACGCAGCGTATACGCAAGCGTATATCATACGCCGACGTTGGAATTACGCGGATGTAGATTGTATACGCTAGTGCGCAATATGCGACGTAGGATCCTGTCGGTACTCTCACTCACCTCAACAACTGGCGATCAGTTTGCACGGCGAATGTCTTAGGAGCATCAGCCGATCCAAATCATGAGGACTGGATGTTATGGCTGGCACCAGCATTCAACCCATTCCCTGATGTCGAAGCACTGAACGATTCAGGACACAAGAAGTTTAAGAGCGTAGACGTCAAATTGGGGATCGCAATGGTCGCAATGCTACGTGCTGGTGGTGACAAATCTGCTGACCTGTACCTGGAGGTGAACCGGAAGGCCAACGATTACATCAGCAGGCCCGAAGGGAAGATCATCAAAGGACGACAAATCATTGCGATGATGTATGAAAGCTTTCGAACACATGATCGTCTCGACATGATCATCACTCTCGAGTATCTGGTGAAGCTCCAGTACCAAGGCGACAACAAGCTTCATACGTTCAAGCAGACGTGGTTGGAAGTTCTGGGACGGATGAGGCCAGAAGATATACCATCCAAAACAGCTCTCCGTGATTGCTTGTACAACAAGATCAAGGACTCGCCCGCAATGAAAATGGAGTTGGGCATGCACTACGAACACTTGCCCTACAATCATGAAGACCGATCGTACGACAATTTGATGAAGATCATTGACCGTAGCATCATGCGGAGACGAGAACAATCAAATCTCACTCAGACCCAAATTGGCTTGCGCCAGATGCTTGAGGGCAAGGATTTGCTTGCTGCACCGGCCAAGGTACCTGAGAAACCAACGCCTAACGCAGCTCCATCCGCAAAGGTCAAGGCTTCGCCGACCAAGCCGGATAAGGCTACACCTGTACTACCTCAAAGCAAAGCGAAGAGTCATGCGAAAACCAAGCCAAAACCCAAGAAGAAGACGAGGAGTGAGTCAGCGGACAACAGAGGTGACAAGAGCAAGAAGCAAATCCGCTGCAAGTTCCATTTCACAGATGCAGGGTGTCGAAATGGTGACAAGTGCCCATTCAGTCACTCGAAGAAGACTCCAGAGCGACCCTTTACGCCGAGGACGAGAACTCCAAGTCCATCTGGAGGAGGAGGAAACAGGATATGCTACTCGTTCAAGAACACAGGCTCGTGCTCAAGAGAGAATTGTCCTTTCAAGCATGAGGCAGCAGCTACCCCAGCTCCGGAACCAAAGGCAAAGGCTAAAGCCAAATCCGAAGCGAAGGCAGCTCCAGCGAAGCCGAATGCCAAGGCCAAGGCGCTCCCTGCGGCACCCGCCATCAGATTGTGCCGAAGGTGGAATCCATCAGCTCCGGCGATATGGAAGCGATCTTCAAGACAAGATGAGGAGGAGTCAGATTGTCCATCCGTTGACAGCGACGCTGATTCGGATTGTTCAACAGACGACGAATCCTCGGGACCGACTACGTCGACCCGAAAATAGATCAAGCGTAATGTGACATTCGCCGATGACGTGAAGTTCATTTCTTCGTGTCCTAGAAGATCGAAGAAGGACAAAGAGCGGAAGGTGAAGTACGTCGACATGGAAGCGCTTGTCAACGATGAGGATCGCGCCGTGAATTTGGAATTCGCCAAGCACAAAGCGAGATTGAGGGCACAGATTATGAGAGACATGGTTGACGACGATGATGATCAATGTGGAGATCGAGTTTCATTCGTGCGAATCCCAGGAACGTCTCGGGTGGAGGAAGTCTCCTTCTACGACGGTGAGGATTCCATCGTTGAGCGTGAACTCGATGCTGCGCACAGCAAGCGGATCATCAATCAAGGTGTATGCAAATGCATGGTTCAACCAGTCATCCTCAAGAAGAAGATCAAGTTTCTCATAGACACTGGGTGTGGTCATGCATATCTCAGAAGAAGATCGAGAAGCATAGTCTTGAGACACTCGTGACTCCAGAGCCCATATCATTTCAGACAGCAAATGGAATCACCGATACCGATCTTGTGTCGAATTTCCAGACTGAGTCGTTCGAGGAACCGATCAACGCTTACGTGTTGGACGACACACCATCGGTGCTTTCCATTGGCAAAAGATGTATGAACTTCAACTACGGGTTTGTGTGGCCACCCGGAAGGGAACCATTCATGATCAACCCGCAGGGCAAGAGGATATCTCTGTTCGTGAACGGTGACATCCCGTACATTCGTGCCGGGAGTTCCAAGTCACTTGTTCATGATGATCCGGAGGCCAAAGCGATCACCGAAATCTTCAAGAGTGTGCTAGCCGCAGGTGACGTTGACGTCAGTGTCGCAGCTGCCGCTGAAGCTGCACCAAGCGAAGTTGAAGCAGAAGAAGAAGGTGACGATCATGAACGGCCTCCTGATCCTGAACCCCAAGAACCTCCTATAGAAGAAGTGCCAGAGTCCGAGGCCGGACGACCTCCGGACGACGACGAAGGAAAAGGAGTGGGTGAAATTCCATTGGACGGTGACGATGAGGTGATCATTGATGTAGAAGGCGACGGTGCGCCAAGCCGCAAGGCCAGAGTCGGAACACTGAAAGCCGAAGCTAAGACATTGGCACATCTGTGTACTCATCGCTACCGCAACCCATATTGCGAATCGTGCATACGCGCGAAGATGAAGCACTTGCGGACACAACGAGGTGCGTTTCAACGTGTGATCAACCACTGGGGAGATCTTGTGACGTTCGACTTCCTCGATATGCGCAAGGCCGCCGAAGCAGGTATCGGACTCGATGATGGAGCACGTGAAGTTCTAGTCATCAGAGACATCGCCACCAAAATGATCGCAGCGATTCCCACGGCTTCAAGGAGCACCGACGAGGTCGTCATGGCCATCAGACGTCTAATGGGAAGACGCAAGATTCATATGGCGTACAGTGATGAAGCACCAGAGTTCGATTCAGCTATGGC